AGTGGGTCGCGAGACAGTTTTTAGTGCGTCATGAAATATCCTGAACTTTTTTGTTACAAAATTTTATATACTTTTATTTAAAATGGTTAATTTTCTAGTTTTTATTTATTTGTCAACTAATTATACCGACTTTTTTGTAGTAGTTTATTTTATTTTTTTTTTCCTGTCGCTTCAGTATTTGTCTCTTTTCCTAAGAGAAACGTACGAGTAGTGATAAGTCGCAAACGTACGCAATGTGTGAAACGTACGCGATGAGCAGTGGGTCGCGGTGCAGCAAAGTTTGGGAAACACTGATAGAAAACATAAAATCTTATATTTAAAAACGAGCTATTCGATATGGTAAAATACGGAAATCGTTGATATCATATCGTTTAATTGTATATTACGTCACATGAAAGTTTATGCATTGAATTAATTAAAAAAATACGCAGATTATTACAGATTATTTGCGTGTGATGCGTACCCAACCGATTTGTTTAAATGATTTGAAATACAAATTTGTCACCTGATAACCTATACTACGATAAAAGGAATGAAATATCAATCAAAAATATTATATTGCGCCATACTGATAATAAAAAATATCATAGTCGTATTAAGTCAATAATTAGTGCTCTCTCTCATATTGGAAACTCATTTTTGGTGTTGTTTTTTGAAGGCAGATGTAATTGAAGAGATGCGTGGCATGCAACGCCGAAGTCAGTTTCAGCAAACAGGCGTTTTCGCGAAGGGTTTCGTTTTTGTACTAAGAAAGTTGGCTGAACCTTCCATCTTATCGCAGCTGAAACTCACACACATGTTTCCACTGTGCAAAAGATTGGAGAAAAAGGATTGAAGAAGGGAATGTAAATAATCTCAAGTTATACTGATGCATCTAGATGGACGTCAGCACGCTTGTATCAATATATCCAAAGGCAGGCTGCGGTAGGCCCTCGTGACTTTCGACATTATGCTAAATGCCATATTTACTGTGGATGTTTCAATATAAGCAAAAGCAATTTTAGAAGAAAGCGACTTGCTTTGCAAAGGTTGCTATTGACACAAGGTATTGGCGTCATCGATTGCAATGATGGCAGGAGACAGCCTTTTAGACAGTTGATCTGTAGGCGACGTGGAGGCAGATCCTGCCCTGTTGCGACGATTGCATATTATGCTGCTGAACAATGTAGCATCATAGTTTGGGGCACCATTGTCATGGATGGTCATTTGTGTGATTTGTCCCACACTCAATAGGAGCAGCAAGAATTGCGAGGATGGTTGAAAGCGTATGACCATCCATCCCTTAGGATATTATCCGTAAACTGATTTTATCCGTATCTTGGCCTCTTGTAGCCGCAAGAGATGGTCCTACTTCCTATTGATCCCCCTATACATTTGATCATTGCATTCATCTTTTTGAAGTTAAAATCACTTATTCATTTAGGCATTCCTTATTAATTTGTCAGTTTTTTTTATCATATTCACTTCTTTCATGGTGTTACATTTTCTTTGTCAGTACTTACTTAGAAATTAAAGAAATGATGCAGTTGTTTATTACTTTATATATTCGAAATATAAAAGTGGCATTTAGAAACTTGAAAATAAATGTGATTTAAGAAGCTTTTTTTAAATCACTTTTTTCTTGAAGACGTTTCAAGAATTGTTTGGTTAATTTATTAATCGTGACAAAAGACTGGAGAGGAATGCATTGTGACAGTGGTCTCAGACATGCTACCCGTGTATACATTTCAGTTATGTATTTTCAGGAACGTTGCACCAGAATATCCATAAATAGAGTTAATTAATTTACAGTGTTCATATGAATCTTATTCAAAAATTTGAAGATATAGATTTTATTCACTTTATTCGTATTTTTGTCAAAACATATATCAGCTCAGTTACAAATTTTTGCACTGACAATAATTGCTTTGTTTGGGAATGCATTTATATGTGAAAAGCGTTTTTTTCACAGCTGAAAATTAAAAAGAATCGACTGACCACATTTTTTAATTATTTCTCTGCAGGATTACAAACTTTATCAGAAGCAAAACGCCATGATGTGTCAAGTTGTAGTAAGAAATAAAGAAGTTTGTAATTATTTACGTACAAACATACGTCTTTTTACTATGCGTCAAAGAAATATTTAACAAATATGAGAAAGAGATTAGGCTGCCATTGTATATTTTCAAGTTTTTGGACAGTTTTCTTTTGAAATTGTTGCCATCAAATATTATCGCCATGCATTATAGTATTTAAAGAAACTAAGAATTTGTGAATGTAATGCATGTAACGATATTTTTAAATCAATTGATTACATTAAATTCTAATCATATTCCTTAATAATGTGTTAGCGATTCTTTACCTAAATTGCATCCCTGTTCCTAAATTTTGGCGAAAACCTTTCTTTATTATAAATTATATTAACCTGTTGGCGCCCGCCAAATCGCCAAACTCACAAATCTGCCATATTACATAATGTCATTAAGACAACGGTACCTAGATTCATCAAGTTTTGAATAACATAGTCCTCCAATTGAACATGGGCACTTGGAAGCCCGAATTTGGAATTTGTTTTATTGTCTGTATCATATTTTATAAAACCTTAATGAATTTTCGATTAAAAAACTCAACAATTTCAAAGCGAGCTGTGACAATACTGTAGGAAATGAAACATTTTTTTATCTCCAATGCGCGAGATTGTCTATCGGAAATTCTAGAGATATACTGTTTTTAAATATTTTTAGCGCAATGTGGCGTTAGCCCAAACGTTCTCGAAACGTATATGTGTCTGTAAATTAAAAAAAAAAAGAAAGAAAACCTATTTGGGCGTTATATAAAATCTGAAATCTTTCAGATTTTTTTCTTTTGTTTTTTATTTTTAGTTTAAATTAAAATAAATTATTTAATGATTAATTAAACAGGTCAGAACTATTTTAAATGAATTTGAGTCTGAAAATTTAATGTTTAGCGATCAATAATTTTGAATAATGAAAGTGAAACCAACAGAAACGTCTTGCAAGTACCAAACTTTGGGTTAATATTAATTTGGCCTTTTTGTACCCTTTTGTGATATTATTATTTATGTATGTTTTGATAAATTTTTAATAAGCAAAATTTGAAATTTATTATCCCAAAGAGGCAATTTGCCCAGAATCCACTCGAATATGAGCATCTGGAAGCCCAAATTTGGAATTTGTTTTATTACGTATTTCATATTTTGTAAAGTATTTATGAATTTCTAATTAAGATACTCAACGATTTCAAAGCAAGCAATGTCAACACTGTGTGAACAAAAAATATTTTTATCTCCAGCGCGCGAGACTGTGTATCAGAAATTCTAAAGATATGCTCTTTTTAAACTATTTTGTGATATTGCTGTTGAATTGAATTTTATGGTTCAGTGCGAAGAACGGAACCATAAAGTGCGAAGAACTGAACCATAAAGTTAATTGCGAAGAACATGATATTTAATAAATAAAGGGTAACACACAAAACATTAAAAAAAAGCCCCTTTGGGCATGATATAAAAATGTGAAAACTTTCAGATTTTTTAAAAAATATTTTTGTTTTGCTAAAGAAATGGAACCCTTCAGATGTTTTCAGATGATGCATTTGGCCTGCACACAATTTGAGACCACTATGAGATACAGCTTCACTGCCAACGTTTTAAGTGAAACTGACTTAAGCCATATCATTTGGGTGTTTTTTTGATGTTATTCGTGATTATTAACGATGTTCTTTCTAATTCCCCCATCCCAAAATAGTGTGTTCATAGGCTGTAAAATGCATAAAAGCAGTGCCATATGATATTTTCGATGTCGAAGACATCTTTATTTAGCCGAGATTTTCCAAATCTATTAACCTGCTATCTTATGTAACATTACGCTGTCATACCATTTATTATCTGTGTGATTCGGAAAATGTTATCATTAATGAAAGATATAAGCTGTTAAGTTTATTTTTCGCGGGCTGGCTGTTAACCAATTTCCAGAATGCTGCCATCGGACATGATGCAAAATCATTAATTTATCTTTAAGGCGAGTAAGACCAAATTAACCTTCCAAATATTGGTTTTTCAGTTTTGATTATCAAAAACATGTAAGCATTGCTGATCGCAATATCAATATATATATATCATATTTAGGTTTAGAGTACCAAACACTTGTAAATTAAGATAGAAAAGATGTATATTAAAAGTTTCTTTTTAAAACAGTTTTCAAGCGATGTTTTTTAAATAGCTTTTAATCGAGATTTCTCACTACTTTTTGTAATTATTACACTGTGCCAACGGTGATTATGCGTAGGCATTCCTTTCCAGAATTACGTCTATTAGCAGCAAAAGTACTTTTCAGAGGTCTGAATTCGAAGAAGCATTTACGTGAGCATATCCTCTAAAAAATCGGTTTGTAACATCTTCGAAAACTGAAGAGGCGAAACAGTTGTATGTTTCAAAGAAGTTATTTTTCGTTGAAATGAATTGCTGACATTTTCAATAGTTAATACACATGTTCACTGATATACGTACAGAGCTTCGAAAAATTGTCAAATTCCATTTTACAAAATTGAAACGGTAATTTATTAAATAACTGAAGAAGCAAGGATCCTTAAATGACAAAATAAAAAGAAACGTAAGTTTTTAAATCTTATTGATAAAAAGATTTTTTTTCTTTTTTTTTCGTGGTTATGAAATGTAACAACTCTTCGTATTGGTTCGCCCATGCCTCCTCCCGACCTGTGTAGAAGCTTGGAATTTTATTATCATGAATGTAACCTGTGTTATGACTTATTATTAAATAGATACGTATCTGACTAAATTTTTTGTTATATGAATTTTTTGATAAAAAATGAATGGATCGCATTAAATTCTTATTTTTCTTTTTTCTAATTATCTGTATTAAAAATTTTGGTGTTGCGTTACATTTGGGCTAATACGGTAATATCATAATTAAGTGTTGTGTACTGTACCTTTGATTTGGAATTACTTTTATGTTAGTAAACTGATGCATTATTATTCAACTTAGGTTTCTTTGTTTGGCCGTGGAGTTGAAGAGAGAATCTTTATTTCTGTGTAAACTCACAGTAATTTACGGTGATTTTCGAGATGAATCTTGCAAGCATAGCTGAACGAACGGTAAGTGTTTTTTTTTACATACTTAAGCGTATTTCATTTTAAATGATTATTATACTTTTTTAATAATACCCTAAATTTCCGATATCTCAAAATATGTACCTCCTTTTTCCTCAAATTTTAAATTAATCACGCGGCAGTTGTCCAGGTGGGAAGCGGCATTGTTTTTCATAGCCACTGCGTGCTTTGACTAAAAAAAATCTGACAGCTTTCAGATTTTACATTACGTCCAAAGGGACTTTTTTTTAACCTTTTGCGGTTACCTTTATTTATTAAATATCATGTTCTTTGTACTTAAACCATAAAATTCAATTCAACAGCAATATCGCAAAATAATTTTAAAATGAGCATATCTTAAGAATTTCCGATACACAGTCTCGCCCGCTGGAGATAAAAATGTTTTTTCTCGTACAGTTTTGCCATTCCTCGCTTTGAAATCGTTGAGTTTGTTAATCAAAAATACGTTGAAGTGTTACGAAATATGAAATCGATAATAAAACAAATTTCAAATTCCAAATTCGGGCTTCCAGATGTCTATATTTGGTGGAAGATTACATTATTCAAAATTTGATGGCTCTAGGTAATTTGTTTTATCACAATGCGAGAAACATGCATACATTTATGCAGATTCTTCCTTATTTAATTTCTTTAAATATAACGCAGGGCGCTAATATTTGATGGCAACAATTTGAAAAGTGAACCGACATTTAAAGTTTTTAACGCAAAATGCCAAAATAAAATTAATAGCTCTTTGGGCTAAAAACCATTTGATATTGGTTTACATAGTATACAGTAAAAAGCAAGCCCCGGGGAGGGACTGCATATTTCAGTGGAACGTAAATTTTATAAATTATCTCACCGATTTACACATTTTGAAATAACTCTCTTTTAACATAAAATGGCTGTTAGAAACAATAGTGATACGCTACTCACCGATTGACTGGTTATATGCAGTAATAGCATTATCCAAACAAACTATTGTGCAGATGAAATCTATTTGCGAGACAACCTATGTTAAGGTATTTAGTGGTGTATGCTGTCGTTTAATCGGATGATTAAAGTAATTTATTTTCCAGAGGTTCTAGCCATTTGTTATTCAGGATGTGGCCAGGGTACTTTCTCTAAAGCAGTAATTATTCTCTTAAATATTTATGGCCAACTAAGTGCAACTCCTCTGTATTTGATAATTATTTCAGAGATATTGTTAGTTTGAATCTTGCTTGGTAGTTGTAACAGTTGTTTAGATGTTTAGATTTTAATTTTTTAATAAGTTGTAAATTTAAAAAATCTCTCTGAATACCTACGTGAATTACATGTGCATACTTTAAAGAATTAGTTTCTTCAGCTTATCCGAGCGCATCTAACAAGTAATGAACAATGATAGTGAGTGTTGCTGTTGACTCTGATATGGTGGTGGGTAAGGGAGAACGAGGCTTGGTTTGAACACTTGACTGGACATTGATGATTGTGACCATAGTGTTTTGGCAACCCGAAGCCCTTAAAATCTATGAATGTGAAATTCTGTAAAGACACTGATGTCATCTGGTCAGGCAACAGGCATCTGGTCCTCAAATTCTGTTCTCCATATCTTTCGGTCAATATTCGATTAAAGACAAATAAAAGTTGGTCTGTCTGTATTGATTTCCATGTTTGTGGCCAATGGCAAATGCATTTCTGATCAATTCATGAAGCTATTCTGCTGGTTGTAGACGAGGACATACACAAGCAACATATCAATCTTTATCCTTTAAAATATCATCTGTTACATTGAGGAATATAAATGGAATTTTTTTGTTTACTTTTATGCAACTGATGTCGTGATATGTTATAGACTTAACAGTACAAAGTATAAAACGTTTCATCACAAAATACGACTTTTTTCGCAAATGTAAGTAAGTAAGTTCTTGGCTGCCCCTCCTCGTGAACTAAATCACATTACGGGTCTACTCCCCCTTTTGGGCACTTCGTGGAGGTTCGACCTCCACTATTACCCTACCAGGGGAACAGCGCGCCACCTGGATACAACACCAGGCAGCACTGGTCGTCATCTGCTCCTGCCAGTCGCATGAGCGAGCCCGTCGCAGTGGGCCGTTACCCAGCAAACCGGGGGAAACAAGCCCCCCCCCCGGCTACGGTTCCACACCGCTCAGAACATGCCAGACTCCGAGGCTGGCCAATAAGTGACCTTTCGTAGGGCCTTCAGAACCACCAAGTTCATAAATTTTATACCCCCGTGGCCGAGACTGCCTAGGTACAGATCCTAACCAGTAGCTTCGCAGAGTTCTCTACGTCGACCCCCGGGGGGACGCAAATGTAAGAAAGCATATAACTTGTATAACGGGTGAATATTCTTGATCACTTTCTTACCTGTCTGATTTGCATCTCGCTCGCAATGCGATAGATTTTCTGATCTGCAGGGTGAAATTTCAGTACGCCAGGTCATTTTTCGAGGCTCTGCTTCGTGTTTGAAACTATTTAATCTTATAAATGGCATTAATAAGGTGATTCGTCATAGTAAAAATGATATAAAAAATAACAGAAAAAAAGCAGTAAAGATGGAAACTACGAATTTTTAATTAATTCAAAAAGTGGAATGCACTGGAAATGTAATTTAAAGTTAAATAGTATTCTGCATTATTTTCTGTATGAAAACTGTAAGATCAGAAATCAAATTTACAAATTATAAATATTTCGTAAAGAAAAGTTCGGTAAGTAATAAATTTCACAAATGAAAAGTTTAAAAACCTTTTGCTGCTTTAATCTTGGGATTGTCTCTGTTCACTGCAGCAGGGTTTGCAAAGTTGTACTGTCTTGCCCAGATGATTTTTGCAGGTAAACTTAGAACACTCAGAACATTTTATGCTAGTGTAATTATTCTTCATTCTACCGCACTCAGCGCAGCGTCCCCTTTGATCTTTTTCGCTGGTGGTTCCTCGTCTCTTTCGGCCGTCTTGTCCGCTTCTGTTGTTATCAACCTTTTAATAATAGCTTTGGAATGCGACGATTCTGAAAATGTGGTTTCATCAAAGATGTAGCTAGATTTTAGCAGTGCAAAAAATATTGCCATTGTCCACCTCTTGGTTTTTCGGGCGACAGTGAAATTACTACAAAGTTGGTCTACGGTATCAACTCCGCCTTTAAATTTGTTATAATCCAGGATTATTTGAGGTTTATTCGTTTCCTGGTCAATTTTGTCATCATCGTGTAAAGTACTGAGCAGTATTACACACTTATTTTTTTTCGTTGCATATGAAACAATTGTCATATCCTTTTAAAAACCAAACAGTGAACTGCCGACTTCTCTTGTTTTTGATGGCTGGAATTCATTTGAATTTCCTTTTTATTTTTGTTCAGCGTGCCCACAAGTGTTATACCTTTGGTAAGAAGATATTGAGCTAGCGGGTAGCTTGTATACCAATTATCGGTCGTCAGGTTACGGTTGGAACCTTCGCACTCACCAATTAGCCTTTTGACAATGTCAATACTTGATTTAGAAGCCTCGTAAAGTCCTGGGGGTGTATTGCCACAGTAAATTTCAAGCTTCAATGTATAAAACGTTCGTGAGTCAACAACTGCAAAAATTTTCAGACCGTACTTTGTGGGCTTGTTGGGGATGAATTGAATAAAAGAGCATCTCCTGCAAAAGAGTTCCAACATCTCATCGATTGTGAGTTCGTCACCTGGTGTATAAAAGTTTTGACAGTTCTGATTGAAAGATTCAAAAAATTCCTTTAGTGCAGCAAGCTTATCAGTTTTTCTTCGCACATACCTTGTGCCTTTATTATCGAAAGTAATAGCAGCACACAGATTTCTGAATCGCTTGAGACCCATGACTCCTTGCAAAATTTCAATTCCAGTACCGTCTTTTGCCCATGCTTCCTCCACATTGAGTTTTGACATTTTTTTTGCACCCTAATAAGAATAAAATTCCTAAAAAGGCCAAAATTTCTGCTCTATTAGTATCATACATGCTTCTCTTTGAGATGTTTTGGAGATCATCTGCAGTACTGTTAAATTTGAGATAAATATTTGTATATTGTACGATAGCATCAATCAATTTGTATTTATGATTTTCTGGAAAGCAGAAAGCTCATCATTTATATCGTCACAAGTTTTGGCACTTGGGCATATATTTTTCATCAATATTTTTTAGGCGTTTTGGGGAATTTGCTCTTGAGGGGAACTTTATTCCACTTATAAGTTTCCTTTTCTTCTTTCAGAAACTTTCCTCCAACTTTCTTCTTTTTGTAAATTATTTTTACAAAAAAGTCCTCATATTTTAAAATCACTCATGTCATACATCACTAAAATCGTCATTTGTTGGGGAAACATCATTTGAGGAAGGAAAATGAGGATGTTTAGAAACATTTCCCTGTAATCTTCAAGGGGTACAATATTCTTTCTGTACATACTTGGAAAAGCGGCGTACTGCGTTCGCCTACGCGACATGTTCACAATAACTGCTTTCGGGAGGAAGACCAGGTGCATTGCACTCATGGAATGTTTCTAGGAGGGTAGAGGAAGGGAGGAAGCTCAGGAAGAGGTTGTTTAAAAATTACAGCCCAAAAGATGGCATTGGCGTACTCTGTACGCTGGCTCCTCCATTGCAGGGGTTTAAGGAGTATGCATTCAAATAAATGTATTGAGGGATTAAAGACTATTTTAGCAAATAACTTGATGAATTCTCAGAATATGTCGGAAGATGGAAGTTAGCAGTATGTAGAATTTAAGCTGAACGCTAAAATAGTGCTTAAGTTAGTTTCATTATTTATTTTATTTTTTTCTTTAATGAATTCAATCGTATAGACAAAATTACACTAATCCCAACTGTACACGCATACTAAATTGCGTGCCTGTCACTAAACTTGCGGGAGCAGTTTCATCTTCACTTATTCGGGTCTTTAGTTCAAGTACCTGCAAGAACCTGGACTTTAAAATGATGCTCTTTACAATGGAACGTTTGGCTTCTGAAGGAACAGTGATCCTCACTTTCATCGTTGTTT